AAAGTATAATAATATATAATATATACCAGTCCTTCAATGTGGTGGCTGCATTATTTTCCTTTTTTAGTACATATTCTGCAAGTACAGAAAAAATAAACTGTTGATTACAGAAATCCAGTGTCCTTATAACTTCCTGTGCACCCAAATGGAATCTCAAACAATGTTATCCTTCCAGGCTATCTTCTGTGAACTACATAACAGCTCCAACCTATATAATGGAAATGAGGAGAGGGGTTGGTACTTGTAGTTCAGATTGGGAGTGAGCAGCCTAGGGTGACAATGCTGCTTCTCCATAGATACAGTGTAATGAGTTAACATTGTCCCCTTGGGTCAGGAAGTGCATTACTGGCAGGGTCAACAAGTGAAAATAAAGGGGGGGGAAGCCTGAAAAAGAAAATGAATGCAGCCACCATACTGCATTTTTGTTTTTGGGTTTAGATATGCTTTAAAGTAAAGATAAGAATTTGTCTCCATGACCTAAAGAATTGAAAGCTAATGAAGGCAGACCATGAACCAGGACCTGGGGGGGGGGGGGGGGCAGGAGGGGCAGCTGTGCTGAGCACAGTTTTTTGTGTTTGGAGGCACCACTGGGCATCAGCTCATAAAGCACACTCAACTGAACCATACATGAATGTGGAAGTCCCAGTCCAGTACTGGTTCCATTGCTGTAATATGGTGGAAATAAAGGAGAATTTGAAAACTTTTCTACCTACCGGATGGGGAGCTGTAATTGCTGAACAATTTTCATCTTATTTAATAATAAAAAAATAAGATTCATAACCTGGGTTGGAAGTCTTATTTTGTGACTACTGACATTTATTAATAAAGGTCACACAAGGCATTATCATTATGTGCTATGGAAAGCCAAGCTAGAAATGATGGAATTCTACAAAGCACAGGTGCTCTTTACAAAGTGGAAGTTAAAAGTGGAAGTTAAAGTACTTTTTTTTTCCATCTGTAGAAAAGCATATCCTTCATAAGTGTGCCTAACCTTGTCCTTAAAGTAACCCATATTCCTGACATACTGTATCGAGCACCAAATTTTAGTCTTGATCTTGGTAAAATTTCTATTGGGTTGCAATGGTGGTACCACGATAGGATGGCAGTAGCTTTGCCACATCTGGTGTCATCAAGGCTCAGAGTACGTTGTGGAGATGGAACTCTTCCTTCGAGGCATCAGTTCCTCTCTTCCTTCTGTCAGTAGCAAATAATGGAGTATTTTACTATATCACAGAGTTACAACCCATATTCCTAATATACTGTATCGGCACCAAATTTTAGCCTTGATCTTGGTAAAATTTCTATTGGGTTGCAATGGTGGTACCACGATAGGTTGGCAGTAGCTTTGCCACATCTGGTGTCATAAAGGCTCAGAGTGCGTTGTGGAGGTGGACCTCTTCCCATGAGGCATCAGTTCCTCCCTTCCTTCTGTCAGCAGCAAATAATGGAGTATTTTACTATATCACAGAATTACAACCCATATTCCTAATATACTGTATCAGGCACCAAATTTTAGCCTTGATCTTGGTAAAATTTCTATTGGGTTGCAATGGTGGTACCACGATAGGATGGCAGTAGCTTTGCCACATCTGGTGTCATCAAGGCTCAGAGTACGTTGTGGAGATGGAACTCTTCCTTCGAGGCATCAGTTCCTCTCTTCCTTCTGTCAGCAGCAAATAATGGAGTATTTTACTATATCACAGAGTTACAACCCATATTCCTAATATACTGTATCGGGCACCAAATTTTAGTCTTGATCTTGGTAAAATTTCTATTGAGCTGCAATGGTGGTACCACGATAGGATGGCAGTAGCTTTGCCACATCTGGTGTCATCAAGGCTCAGAGTACGTTGTGGAGGTGGAACTCTTCCTTCGAGGCATCAGTTCCTCCCTTCCTTCTGTCAGCAGCAAATAATGGAGTATTTTACTATATCACAGAGTTACAACCCATATTCCTAATATACTGTATCAGGCACCAAATTTTAGTCTTGATCTTGGTAAAATTTCTATTGGGTTGCAATGGTGGTACCACGATAGGATGGCAGTAGCTTTGGCACATCTGGTGTCATCAAGGCTCAGAGTACGTTGTGGAGGTGGAACTCTTCCTTCGAGGCATCAGTTCCTCTCTTCCTTCTGTCAGCAGCAAATAATGGAGTATTTTACTATATCACAGAGTTACAACCCATATTCCTAATATACTGTATCGGGCACCAAATTTTAGTCTTGATCTTGGTAAAATTTCTATTGAGCTGCAATGGTGGTACCACGATAGGATGGCAGTAGCTTTGCCACATCTGGTGTCATCAAGGCTCAGGGTACGTTGTGGAGATGGAACTCTTCCTTCGAGGCATCAGTTCCTCTCTTCCTTCCTGTCAGCAGCAATTAATGGAATATTTTACTATATCACAGAGGTACAATCCACATGAAAGACCCCAATGGGAATGGGAACTTCAAAATATGACATCTCCTCCGTCTGGGTCTAAGACAGAGGTGTCACTATAAGGGCATGTTTTGAGAGGCTTTCATTAACTTTAGAATTGCTTCTCTACCCATACAAGTGATTGGGAATACAAAAGAAGCTGAAGCAGCTCAACAGCAGGTCAACGTCTGGTCAACTGAATTTTGAATGAGAAGCATCCTAAACTGATGTTCAAAACATACTGCACTTGCCCACTGAAGATGGTCAACACAGGCCCTAAAAATGTCTACGAGTTGGGGATCGTAGATTTTTGGCAAATGAGCTATGGTCACAAGCTCATATTAGGTCAATTTGATTGATCTAATATGGCCATGTGACCATAATAGGTCAATGATGTCATGAAATCCTTGCCCCCTTGTATACATGCCACTGTAGAGTAATTAGGACACTACAGGCAATGACAGCCAACTCGTAGGTTTGGCCCGAACTCAGTTCTGACTGTGCCCAAACTCATCCCTTGTCTTGAGCAGGAGTATGTGTCCAAACAGGAGAAGTTTTATTCTCCCCTTCAATGGATCACAGTCTACCTTTGTCAAAGCAATGAGGAAAACACATATACCCCTAAATCCCACCTCCAAAACACTCACTAAGCTATGGTGTCACGCAGTCATTTAAAAAACTGCAGGTTGAGGTAAATGTTTGCAAGGAAGAGGTAAGAGCTTGCAAGGATAAACAGATTCGCCTTAGTACCAGTCAGGGGCGGACTGACAACTCATGGGGCCCCCGGGCAATAGGGGATCATGGGGCCCCTGTGTCCTTGCCCAAACTCAAAAAAAGCCTATGAAAAAGGTACCAGGGGCATCTCATGGGGCCCCCCTGCTGACCCCGGGCCCTCGGGCAGTGCCCGAGTTTCCAAATGGTCAGTCCGTCCCTGGTACCAGTGCAGCGTGGAACATTAGAAAATTTGAGACTGGATGATGCCTGAAAAAATATGGCTCTGTCCTTCTCCACCATTTGGGTCTAAGCCAGAGGCACCACTATAGGAATGTGTGTTGGTGGGCATTTTTTAACTTCAGAACTACTTCTCTCCCCATTTATTTATTATTATAGGTACTTATATAGCACCATCAATTTACACAGTGCTTTACATATATATTGTACATACACATCAGTCACTAACCCTCAAGGGGTGTACAATCTAAGGTCCCTAACTTACATTCATACATACACATACTAGGGCCAATTTAGATAGGATCCAGTTAACCTACCAGCATGTCTTTGGAGTATGGGAGGAAACTGGAGTACCTGGAGGAAACCCACACAGGCACAGGGAGAACATGCAAACTCCAGGCAGGTGGTGCCGTGGTTGGGATTCAAACCAACAACCCCAGTAGTGTCAGGTGGAAATGCTAACCATTTAACCACTGTGCTGCCCAAGTCAACTCTAGGTCAGCTTCCGACCCTTCTTCACCATTTGGGTCTAAGCAAGGGGTGTCACTGCAAAGGCATATGACGACAGGCTTTTGTCAATTTAAAAACTACTTGTTTCCCCATACAATTCTATAGGAATGCTGGAGCAGCCGAAGCAAGTCAACTGCAAGTCAACTTCTGGTCCTTCTCCACTGTATGGGTCTAAGCCAGGGGTGCCTTTGTAAGGGTGTGTGTCAATGGGCTTCTCTTAATATAAGAACTGGTTCTCTCCCCATACAAGTCTATGGAAATGCAAAAGCAGTCAAGCAGGTCAACATCTGGTCATACTCCACCACTTGGGTCTAAGCCAGGTATTATAAGGGCGCGTGTCAACAGGATTTTTGTTAACTTTGAAATTGCTTCTGTCCCCATAAAAGTCTATAGGAATGCAAAAGAAGCTGAAACAGGACAACTTCTTGTCTTTCTCCACTGTTTGGGTCTACGCCTATAAGGGCATGTGTCAACTGGTTTTTTTTGTTAGTTTTAGAACGTTCCTCACCATACAAGTCTAGGAAGCAAAAGCAGCTGAGGCAAGTAAACTGCAGGTCTTCTTCTGGTCAACTGAACCTGCAATTGATTCTGAATGAGAAGCATCTCAAACTGATTTGCAAAACACACACTGCACTTGCCAACCAAAGATGGTTGGCACAGGCCCTAAGAAAGTCTATGAGCTGGGGATCATAGACTGCGGACACATGAGCTATGGGCACATGGTCATATTAGGTCAATGTCATTGACCTATGTTGACTATGTGACCATATTAGATGATATTATGTCAAGGGGAGTACTATATTCTCTATCGGTGGTAATAAATACTTGGAAATGTTACACTTTCTTCTTTACGTTGCATTCATGCACTTCATACCAAAACATATAGCTGATGTTAGGTCCACTCTCATCAAATACACCCCCCCCCTTTCCCCAGAAAGATACTGTACCAGCTACACTAACTTGGAAAAAATAATTTTGAGGCCATTTTAAGGATTTCACTCTCTGCTGCCTCTTGAGCTCTCCCTCCCTAGCTGCATCATTCCAAGAAGCCAACGCCCTGAACTTAATTAAAAGGACAGTCAACGAGTCCAGCATCTTCTCTTCATCCTCTTCTGCAATCATGGGGAGCTACGTTCTTCTATTCACCTGCATCCTCTCCACTTTGTTGGCCACCGGTAAAAAACTTTACTGTTACTTATTTTATGTCTTGGAGAATGTGTGACGACCTGTTGCCGTGCCGAGCCTTATAGCTGCAGTTCTGAATTTTAAAAGATGAACTAACGTGAAAGGCATCTTGCAAAGATCTTTAACCCATGCATTGTATCCCCTTATTCCTGATACTAATTGATTTTGAATTTTGCAAAGACTGACACTTTTCTTGAGCTGCTTATGCAAAATTTGCTTAAAGAAAATTAACTTTTTTTTTAAATTTGTGATTTTTTTCTTTATTTGGGGTAGTCTATTTTTTTAAATTAGGGTTTTATTTATAAATGTTTTACACAGTTTTTAAATGAAATTTAATTGTAAAAAAAATTTGAATCCTGGGTGAAAGTTGTGTGCTACTTGTTGTGTTGTTGTGCTAAACAGACCCGCTTAGAGTTCTTTGTATGTTTAACCCTTTTCTGTATGCTGTTGCATACGTTTTTTTGTTTTACTTTTTTTCACAGTTTTTTTCTTCTTTTTGTGAAATAAAGGGCAATATTCCACGCTAAAATATTTTTCTATTAAAGGTAAACACCCCAAAGCCTATTGTTTTCATGTTCTAAAACAAGGGTGTGTTTGTTCCTATTTGGGGCAGTTTCATTAAATTTATTTGGGGGTCTAGTTATAAATGGTTCACACATTTTTTTTAAATGCAGTTTAATTGAATATGTGAATTTTGGGTGAAAGCTGTGTGAATCTTGTTGTGCTAAACAGACCCGCTTAGAGTTCTTTGTTTGTTTAACCTTTTTCTGTATGCTGTTGCATACTTTTTTTGTTTTACTTTTTTTCTACAGTTTTTTTCTTCTTTTTTTGTGAAATAAAGGGCAATATTCCACGCTAAAATATTTTTCTATTAAAGGTACACACCCCAAAGCCTATTGTATTCATGTTCTAAAACAAGGGTGTGTTTGTTCCTATTTGGGGCAGTTTCATTAAATTTATTTGGGGTCTAGTTTATAAATGGTTTACACATTTTTTTTAAAATGCAGTTTAATTGAATATGTGAATTGTGGGTGAGAACTGTGTGAATCTTGTTGTGCTTTACTTTTTACTTTACTTTTTTTCACAGTTTTTTTCTTCTTTTTGTGAAATAAAGGGCAATATTCCACGCTAAAATATTTTTCTATTAAAGGTACACACCCCAAAGCCTATTGTTTTCATGTTCTAAAACAAGGGTGTGTTTGTTCCTATTTGGGGCAGTTTCATTAAATTTATTTGGGGTCTAGTTATAAATGGTTCACACATTTTTTTTTAAATGCAGTTTAATTGAATATGTGAATTGTGGGTGAGAACTGTGTGAATCTTGTTGTGCTAAACAGACCCGCTTAGAGTTCTTTGTATGTTTAACCTTTTTCTGTATGCTGTTGCATACGTTTTTTTGTTTTACTTTTTTTCTACAGTTTTTTTCTTCTTTTTGTGAAATAAAGGGCAATATTCCACGCTAAAATATTTTTCTATTAAAGGTAAACACCCCAAAGCCTATTGTTTTCATGTTCTAAAACAAGGGTGTGTTTGTTCCTATTTGGGGCAGTTTCATTAAATTTATTTGGGGGTCTAGTTATAAATGGTTCACACATTTTTTTTAAATGCAGTTTAATTGAATATGTGAATTGTGGGTGAGAGCTGTGTGAATCTTGTGTGAATACATTTAAAAATAAATAATAAAAAAAGACCCTCAAGTGCTATTTGTATTTTTGTTTTTTAACCTTTTTTTTATGTGTGCTGTTGCATGACATTTTTAAAAAATTTTTCCACTGTCTTTTTTTTGGGGGGAAAACAATATTTCAAACAAAAATGTTAGTTTATTTTACAGGGTACACCCTCAAAGCCTAATGTTTCCAGATTATAAAATAAGGATGTGTTTATTTGTATTTAGGGAAGTTTAAAGTGGTTGTAAAGTCTGAAGCAGGGGCAGACTGACAGCTCATGGGGCCCCCGGGCAATAGGGGATACATGGGGCCCCTGTGTCCTTGCCCACACTCAAAGCACACCCAAAAAAGCCTATAAAAGGTACCAGGGGCATTTCATGGGGCCCCTTACTGACCCAGGCCCTCGGGCAGTGCCCAGTGCCGAATGGTCAGTCCGCCCCTGGCCTGAAGGTTTTTTTACCTTCATGCATTCTATGCTTGAAGGTAAAAAAACCTTCAGTACCAGGGGCGGACTGACCATTTGGAAAAGGCACTGCCCGAGGGCCGGGGTCAGTAAGGGGCCCCATGAGATGCCCCTGGTACCTTTTTATTAGGCTTTTTTGAGTTTGGGCAAGGAAACAGGGGCCCCATGATCCCCTATTGCCCTGGGGCCCCATGAGTTGTCAGTCCGCCCCTGTTCAGTACACATCTCCCACTGCAGCCTCCCCCAATACTTACCTGTTCCCGATCCAGCAGTGTGGAGCAGCTGCTGTCCAAGCACTTTTCCTCCTCATTGGCTTAAGGTGGGAATACACGATTAGAAAATCGACTGATCGGTCCTCCGAGGACCTAGAGGTGTTCGTTCGTTGGTTGAAATCGTGGCCCACATTAACCAATCTAAAAAAAATCGTTCGTCGGGCAATACGTAGTGCTGATGTCTTCCGTACAAGTGGAAGTGATGCGGTGTGCATGTGACCTTGTAGCCACGCCCTTCCGGCCAGAATGAGCGATCTACACAACGATTAACAGCAATGAGTATATAATATTGTTTATTACATGACCTATATACATAAATAGTGATACATAAAATATAATCTGCAGAATTCTGGTTTCATCATCTCATTCGGCCGATCTACTTTTAACATTTGGATTTTTTGTTCGTGTTTACGAAGATTCCTCGGACATAACCATCTGGGCCATCTTCTGGTTCCGTTCATGCGTGATAGCGCTTGATAGATTTTTTTCCGTACGACCGTCATACCACCGCATAGAAAATCGGTCGTTCGTATGTGAAACCTACTAAATTTTTCACTGTTGTTCAACCGGATTTTTTCCTTCACAAATATCGTTATCGGTTTAAAACATCCCGCTCATCAACGAAGAGGAAAATAGTTTGATCAGGGGTTCTGTGAAATTTTTTCGACAATTTTCTTATTGTGTGTACGGGGCATTAGAGACGGCAGTGGGATCCAAGTGAAGGGAAATCTCCTCAATGGGTCACAGATGGCGAAAAAAAAAAATCTGACAGGGGTTATAACCCTTGGGGGGGGGGGGGGGGGGGGGGGGGGGGGGGGGGGGGGGGGGGGGGGGGGTTCCTTGCTCTGTCCTAAATGAAAAAAAAACATTTTCCCTATAGTTCTACTTTAAGTAGATAACAAGACCTGGTATTCCCATTGAAGACCATAAATTCTGCAAGCCCACCAAAGCCAACTTGGATGGTTAAGGCACACGAGACGGCTAATATAGTTACATAGTTAGTCTGGCTGAAAAAAAGACAAAAGTCCATCCAGTTCAACCATAGAAAAAAAAAAAGTTAGAATCCTACATCCACAGTTGATCCAGAGGAAGGCAAAAAAAACCCAGCAAAGCACGATCCAATTTGCTCCTGCTGGGGAAAACATTCCTTCCTGATCCCCCGAGAGGCAATCGGATATTCCCCGGATCAGCTTTACCTATAAATGTTATATCCAGTTATATTCTGTGTATCCAAGAAAGAATCCAGGACTTTCCTACAGCAATCCACTGAGCTGGCCACAACCAACTCTGGAGGGAGTCTATTCCACATTTTCACAGCTCTTACTGCGAAGAAACCTTTCCGTGTTTGGAGATTACATTTCTTTTCCTCCAGAAATAATCCAGTAATAATATTTATAATCCAATACCCACAGTTGATCCAGAGGAAGGCAAAAAAAAAAACAGCAAAGCATATGTTTTACAAATGTGGAGAATCTTGAAACAGGTGCTCAGCAATGAATTTGCTGTGATCCAATCATTAGCCCCTTTTTCGTTGCGTTTCACAAGAAAATGTTGGGGATTTTTTTGTGACTAATTCTAGGCATTGCTATATATTTTACATAGTTACATTGGTTCATCTTGGACCAAGGTAACTATGTACTATATACCACACCTGGCAGGTGCCCTGGATGCTGGAAATCACTGAAGTAGGCACCGCTATTATACTTGCTTCTGGGTCCCACGCTGAGCAGCTGCACTACCATTTGAGAAACCGCCCGCTTGGCAAAAGCTCCATTCAAAGACCGCTTTTCCTGTCTCTGAATGAATGGATGGGGGAGAGAAAGAGAGGGGTGGTGACATCACTCATCCCTTTGATAACGTGCTGGTGCACGAAACATGTCAGGGAGGAGCCTACCATAGTGACGTCAGACGACCACACGGAAGGCCGGCGGCCATTTTAGAAGTTCTTTAATACATGTGAGTGCTTTTGTATTTCCCTACTCTGCTGGACATTGGATTAATAAAATTACTACACTATCAGTACTTCATCTGTCTCTGGCTTGGTTTATACGAGCCTCTAAGGTGGAGATTTCCCCAATTCTTTATGTTACTGATCTGATGCTTGCTTGAAGCTGTCCCTGGGAGCAGTCCTGTGAGTGACTGGAGTTGCCTTGTGTGCTTATGGTGTGCCAGATGACTCTGCCATCCTCGCCTAGACCTAGATGACCACTTTTGTATATATATATACAGTCAGGTCCATAAATATTGGGACATCGACACAATTCTAACATTTTGGCTCTATACACCACCACAATGGATTTGAAATGAAACAAACAAGATGTGCTTTAACTGCAGACTGTCAGCTTTACTTTGAGGGTATTTACATCCAACTCAGGTGAACGGTGTAGGAATTACAACAGTTTGCATATGGGCCTCCCACTTGTTAAGGGACCAAAAGTAATGGGACAGAATAATAATCATAAATCAAATTTTCACTTTTAATACTTGGTTGCAAATCCTTTGCAGTCAATTACAGCCTGAAGTCTGGAACGCATAGACATCACCAAACGCTGGGTTTCATCCCTGGTGATGCTCTGCCAGGCCTCTAC